GGTTCCCAGGGAAGTCGCCTGAGGTTGCCAGAAGGTGGCAAGGTGGGGTGAAGTCTGAGAGGTGACTCAGGCACAGGGCAGAATATCAGACAGTTGTGAAATGTTGAAATCCTTTGTACCGGGTTGTAAATTGCTCCTGTGCTGTGCTCCTCTTGAGCACCTGTCTGCTGTCACCTGGGCCCTTTCCAGGTCCCCCCAGCCTCCCGCCTCATCCTCATGATCCAGTTCCGAGGAGGTCACGCTGGCCACTGTGCTGGCCTCCAGGCCCCTGCCACAGCTCTGCCATCCAACTGGTCAGTGCCTCAGTCAGCCGTCCCAGACGTGAAATATCTTCAACATCACCCAAGTCTCTGGAATGGGGGCATCTTGCTTGGCAGCCCCAAGTCTCTCTCCCAGGTCACCTGGCACTTCTCCACAGAGCCCTTTGCTGTGGCCTGGTTGTTGGCCCACTTGCCCCTCAGACCACCGTGTTGCCCTCCAAAGATGTGGGCGACGTGGGCATGTGCGTGCCCCTCTCCAGTGAGCTGGAGCTGCGGAGGGGCAGGAGGCGGTGGCCCGGGGTCCCGTCCCGCCGTCCCTGCACCCCTGCCGCCCGGCGCCAGCACTGCAGTGGCCGTAACACCTCCCGCCGCAGGTCCCGGCTGCGCCACGTGTAGATGACAGGGTTGAGCAGCGAGTTGAGGGTGGCAAAGGCAAAGAAGTAGTGGGCCTTGTAGAGGACAGGGCAGGCCCGGACAGGACAGGCATAGTCCAGGAGGAGGATGCTAAAGGCGGGCAGCCAGCAGACAATGAAGACACCCAGCACGAAGGTGACTGTCTTGAGCAGGGCCAGCGTCTGCGGGCCAGCCACATCGGCCTGGCTGGAGCGCACCACGCAGTAGATGCGGATGTATAGAGCTACAATGGCCAATAAGATGACAGAGAAGATGCTTACCACGCAGAGCACGTAGGGCTTGGCGTAGAGCGGCAGAACAGTGGAGCAAGCCTCCAGGTGGCCCAGGCAATTCCAGCCCAGGATGGGCAGGCCGCCGAGAACCAGCGAGATGAGCCACGAGGCCGCGATGAGCAGCAGCATGCGGCAGCTCTTGTCGCTGCCGTAGAGCTTGACCTTGGCAATCGCCACGTGCCGCTCGATGGCTATGGCCAGGAGGCTGAAGACAGAGGCAGAGAGCGTGATGAAGGCCGAGCCCTCGCGGGCGAACCACTGCACAGGTGTCAGCCCGAACGTGAAACGGCCAGAGAGCAAGGTATTGGCGATGAAGGCCGCACCCGCCAGCAGGTCTGAGGCAGCCAGGTTGCCCAGGAACAGGTACATGGCCGAGTGGAACTTGCTGTTGCGCGCGACTGCGATGAGTACCAGCAGGTTCTCCACCACGATGGCGCAGCAGAGGATGATGATGAGGGCTGAGGCCACCTGGCGGGAGGGAGTCTCCCGCGTGTCCAGCGTCTCCTTGGTGTGATTATAGTGTTCCCGAACCTTGCTGGGGCTTAGGTACTCTGAGTACAGGTTGCCCATGGTGGGGCTCAGTGGCCAGCTGGGGCCATGGGGCTGTCAGAGCTGCAGAGAGAAAAGACAGACAGACAGACAGGTCAGTGCTGTGGCTGCTGCCTGGCCTGACTCTGGATGGCTGTAGTTCTAGTCTCAGCCCTGTCCCTGCTGAGTGGCCACATGGTCAGAATTATCATCGTCTCTGCTTTACAAAGGGGAACCCCAGAGAGGTCAATTTACTCTCCCAAAGCCTCAATGCTAGTAAAGTGGCAGAGCCTCAGAGACCCGCTCCAAAGCCTCTGTATCCTTGAGGCTACACTGTCTTTCAGAGGAACAGAAGCTCCCCGCAAAGAGCATGAGAAACAAAAGTGGATTTCCAGAAGCCCTATCCACCTACCCAGCGAGGGAGTCTTGGCCAGGACCTGGAGGGCCTGTCTCTTTTCTCGAATACACTGGAGCCTCGGGCCTCATGCTGCCTGCCAACCTGGGTCAGCAAGATGCTCGCCGCTGATAGTACCATCCCCTGTTCATTACCACCTACTGCCCTGAATTTCAGGCTGGGTCTAAGCCTTGAGGCCATAGGTGTTCCCAAGATAAGGTCTTGGGGAGACATCAGGGCGGACCTGAGGTTTGAGCATCACAGAGGTTACGTCATCTTCAAGGACATAGACCTTGCAGGCAATACAGGGTTCAGCCCCACTCCACCTCTGACATGCTGTGGGATCTTGGGCCAAGTCATTAGACACTTGGTCTCTCGGCCTCAACAGCCTCACCTGTGCAATGGAGAGAAGAAAGCTCACTTCATAGGGGTGATGGGAAAATCCTGTTGAATGATGCATGAGGCACACTTAGCACAGAGCAAGCACTCAATAAATATTAGCTAATATTAGCTCCCCTCTTCCTGCCATACACACGGCTTGGGACTAGGTGCCCTCTGCCCAATCTCTTGGGAAATGTTAGCCGGGCAAGATTCCCAGCAGCCTGTTCTCATCAGCACCATCCAGCCCTGCCCTGGGACAGAGGGTCCTAGTTGGGTGGGCAGGGCGCTGGCAACCCCCCTCCCCAGCCAGGATGAAATCCAGATGTGAGGCCCTTGGAACAAACAGGGTGGAGTCCTTGCTCCCCAGGCACATCCGGTGTGGGGAAGGCTGAGAGGGGGTGATGGGAATGGGGGAGCCACAGGAGACCATCTGGGAGGTCCTGGCTGCGGGAGGATGGGGCAGCTGTGTGAGGTCATGTGAGCAGTGAGGGGGCGTGCAGCCCCGCGGGGAGGGGGAACCGTATTTGCTTCCATGAAAGCCTGAGTCACCCCCCTCTAAAGGAAAACTGAGCCGTGGGGGGAAGGGCAAGAAAAAGCGCGTGGGCAGAGAGGGTGAGAGACAGACATCATGGCCTCCCCTCAGTTTGGGAGGCGGGCGGGTGGGGGCTGGGGTCTCGGAGGAACCAGTGCAGTGTCTGCCTTTACGAGGGCACAAGGGGAGCCTTCCCCAGGTCCCTGGAAACACTCCTGGCAAGGACCACGTGCACACCAGGAGCACTGTTCCAGAAAAGTCTGGTTAGGCCGGTTCCCAGTGAGCCTGGGAGTGAGGAGGGGCTTCCAGGGTAGCCTAACCATCTCCATCCCAGATGCCCCCTTGGAGGGGCGCCCTGGCCCCTGGCCTGATAGAGGCAGCTGCTCCCCCTGGGCGAAGGGACATCCGTCCTAGTTTGGGAACAGAGAAGGGCTTGTGCACATCCCCTGAGACGGCCGCCCCGCCCAGATCGCCACACAGAGGCCCCTTGTTCCCCTGCCGGACGGGGCCCTGGGTGCCCCAATGCCCTCTGCCCGCTGCAACCGGTTTGGCCCAGGCCTCGGCCTTACCAGACGGGCCGTCGGGCTACAAACTGTCCACACCCTGATTGGATCATTTTCAATCCCAGGGCATTGAGCAATTCGCCTATTGGCCTGAGCTTTCGACCCTCGACATTTGATTGGCCCAGTTGGGGGCGCTCTACGGCTAGCCTTACTGATCTGGTCTTTTACAGGCTGTTGGAACTCACTTCTTTCCAAGGACATTGTTAAGGCTGTGTGGATGTCCCTGGGGAGAGTTCGAACCACGGCCTGACCGCTGGATCACCCCAACCAGACGCCCCCAGGCTGCCCTGGCCTTCTGGGCCCCTCCTGGGGATCATAATTGAGAATCAAGGACCCATTGCAGGTCTGGGAAGCACCCTTGCTGGGAGAAGCGCTGGGTGTGTCGCATGGCTGCCGCTCCCCCCGCCCCCGCCCCCCCCCCCCCGCCGCCTCTTAGACCCCTCTCCAGTCTGGCGGCCAAGAGAAAGATTTATGGCCACTTCCTAGAGAAATAAATGGTTTCAGCCCTCGAATCCCAGGGACTGACCAAAAAAGTCTGTCTTCTTCCCTGGGGGGAAGACCTTCACTTTGGGCAGCCTCAGAAGGAGGAGCGGCTCTCCTAGTTAGAGAGGGAGAAACTGATGCCCACAATGCCTGTCTCTTCTCATCTTCTCCACTAGGAGCTTGCTTAAGGCAGATTCAGGCTTCCCAGAAAGAGGAAGCAGGGTCCAGAGGTTGGAGCTGGCAGAAGAGCCACCCCCTGGCAAATACAGGCCTTGCCTGCTTCCCCTCTGGTGTCAGGCTCCCAGGCCTGGCTGACACAGGGCATGTCTCCTGTTCACTTCCAGCAAAGGCAGTCCTGCCTCCCTCCCAGAGGCTCAGTAAGAGGTCACTGGGCTCAGAACTGAGGAATGGCCAAGCCTGAAAGGGAGCAGGAGGGACAAGTGACAGAAGTTGGAGGGAAGAGAAGTGAGACAGACCAAGACTGTTCAGGTGGAGAGTAGGAGAGAGGAAGGCAGGGGGAAGCCTTAGTGACTTTTAGGAGCCCCTCCTTCAAGTTCCACTGAGGCAGGTCCTATGGTTACTGTTCCCCTAAGTGCGCTCTGTCCCCCGGACCTCTTGCCCTAGGGCAGCACCCTAGGCTTAGTTTCCCTTCAGTTGTCCCTTACAGTTGTCCCCTACACGCAGCAGCCAGGGAGAGCCTTATAATGTACAATGCCAACATGCCACTCCTCAGCTCCAAATTCTTCCATGGCTCCCCACTGCCCAAAACGGCCTGGCCCCTGCCCACCTCACCTCCTCCCACTCTCGCCCAGGGTCACTCTACTCCAATCACACTGGCCTCGGCTATGTCATCCCCATTTCTACCTCACAGCTTTTGCCTCTTCTGATTCTCCACCTGGCATGCCCTTCCCACAAATCCTGGAATGACTGCCCCATGTTTCAGGTTTCAGTTTGGAAATCAATTGCTCAAAGGGGCCTCCTCTGACCACCAGGCTACCCTAGCTGCCTTCCTCAGGTCCTTTCTATCACAGCATCTTTTATTATATTCACAGCACTTGCCAATTTGAGACATTATGATAGTATTTCTTGTTTTCTGTCTGCTTCCATGGTAGAAAGTGAGTGACAGAGGCCAGCAACTAAGTCTTTTTTTGAGTCCCTAGAGAGATGCCTGGCATACAGAAAGCACTCAGAATAACGTGGGGGCGGATAAATTTGGCAGCTGGAGATTTGCAAATACTAACTACTATATATAAAAATAGATTAAAAAACAAATTTATTCTGTATAGCACAAGGTTCAGTATGTTCGGTATCTTGTTAAAACTTTTAATGAAAAAGAATATGAAAACGAATATATGTATGTATATGCATGACTGGGACACTGTGCTGTACACCAGAGATCGAGACATTATAACCGACTATACTTCAATTCAAAAAAAAAAAAAAGAAAGAAACGAAAGAAAAAAAAAACGTGTAGGATGGATAGATGGATAGATGAATGAATGAACGGGCAAACAAGGCCCCAGTGGACCCCAGAGAGTGGAGGCTCCTAAATTCAGCCCAGGCTCAAACAACAGCAAAAGACGCCTCTGGTCAGCTGGCAGGCCCAGCCACCAGGCGAAGCCCCTCGCATCTCCGTGGAGACGGCAGCAGGACCCGCCCCGCCCTCGGGCCGCAGCCTCGGCCTCCTTATCTGGCGGTGGAATGCGCGGTATCCACACAAGCTGCCTCTAGGGCCGCGCCTCCTCTCCCTCGCGACAGCCACACGCGCGGGACCCCCACATCTCCAAGGAGGAGTGGGAGACTCCTCTGCGTCCCGCTAGGACCCCGCTTCGATATTCCCAGAGGACTGGGGAGAGGTGGGGAGAGATCACAGCAGCAGCTGCACCGCGAATACCGCATCCGTGTCGCGCCACGCAGGGGACCGTGGGCTCAGCGCGTGGCGCCTGGAGAGTCTGACTGGGGCAGAGTCGGGAAAGGGGATGGAAATCCCCGGGTGAGTCAACTCGTGCCAGAGAAGGGGCGAGGTTCCCATGCACGGCTGGGGCCACGCGCGCCCGCACCCACGCGCCATCGCCGAGCCCCAGGGGAAAGAAGAGGCGGCGGAGCCACGCGGTCGGGTTCACCTTCCTTCCAAAACAAAGCCACGACCCCGCGACGGGGCTGGAAAAGACGAACTACTCGGAGAAACTGAGGCAGAGGACCAGACGTGCAGGAGGTGGGCAACTGCCCTCCTCCGGGGCCCCGCCCCTTGGCTGGGAGGTTCGGTGCCGCGCAGCACTTTTCGCCCTCTACCAGCCGGAGTCAGCAAAGAGGGGCTTCCTCCCCTCCCCCATACACACTCCCCAAACCCCGGGTCCGGGGGCAAGCAGTCCTGCCTCCCAGTCTCCAGCCAAAAGCTCTCGGATTCCGCCTTCTTCTCCGCGCCAACTTCCTGCCGCTGGGCAAGGCGCGGAGCTCTGTCTGGGAGTTCGCGGCCGAGGCAGTAGGGCCGCCTGGGGTCGTGGAGAGGGCCCACGATGACTACTCCTTCCGTGCAGCAGGAGCACGGGCGGCGCGTGAGCTCCCGGGGCGCCCGGGACCCCTGGCCGGCTCCCCAAGCTCGGATCCCGCGACCTCCGGAGACCAGGGCCCGCCCTTTTTGCCTCCCCCTCGCCACGCACGCTCAC